GGGCCGGCCACTCGGCAAAGCTCCTGTCTGGCTCATGTGCCCTGCTTGTGGGAAACCACAGCCACCACTTGAAGTCAGACACTGCTAAACGCCCCTTTCCCAACTCCCTGTGGGGCTGGGTCCCCTGCTCCCTCTCCCTCGCCCCAGCTAAATGCAGTGGCTCTGGGGGGAGTGGGAGCTGAACTTCCCCCACCCCCCCGGGAGGAAGGGTGGGTTTGTGAGTCAGGCCCTGGACTGGGCTCCAGGAGCTCTCACTTCTGTGACCAGTGTGGCCATAGGCTCTTGGTGTGATCCTGGGGGCGTCACTGAATGTCCCAGCTCCTGCCTGGCCCGGGGCAGCTCCTGCAGCCAGTCTCAAGGCCTCTCTCCTTCTCTGTGGCAACAGGATTCCCTGCTCACCCACCCAGGTGAGCCCTGGCCAGGCTACAGGCTCCAACCCTGTGCCAGATGTGGCACAGGCATCCCAGCTGTGCCCAGAGGCCAGCAGTGTGTAGCCATGTGCGTACCAGCTGGGGCCAGCATTCTAGAAGTAGAGAGGCATGTGTGAGCCAGATGTGCACAGCTGTACTTGCTCAGCAGATCTCTTCTGTTACCTCTGGGAGGGTCAGTGCCGGGTAGCAGTGAGCTGGGCAGACCCTCCTTTAGAAACCAGCTCCCATTTGTGTTTAAAGGCAATTAAATCCAGCAACCTGGCTTCCAGCCCTGCCAGAATTCCCACTCCCCTCCGTGCCCTGCACTGGCCCTCCTCACTGACAGAAGATCTTAGGGGCCAGTGGCTAACCAGGTGCTGGCATGAGTTCTGGGATCCCTCCCCCTGCCTGGGCAGCTTACCTGGCCCCATAGCCCCTACAGCTGCCAGCCTAGTACCAGATGTTAAAAGGCCAGTTGTAGTCGGACAACAACCATCCATGGGGCAACTAAACAAGAGAAGGTGAAATGGGTGGGCCAGATTTACAAGCCAGCATGGAATTGCATGAGTGGCCCTGGGGTCAGGGCAGCACTGGGCACCATAGGGAGCCCTGATCTCAGCCAGGTACTGCCCGCTACACATAATAGCAATCTCTCTGGTCTTCTCCTGGGTTCAGCCTTCCTGTCCCAGAGTGCAGGCTCGGCGTTAATGCGTCGCACTGGAGGTCGGCGTCTCTTGGAATCCGTCTCCTGACTTGGTGCAACCTTTGGTGCTTGTGTCCTCCAGGCTCTGCCATAGCGATGGGGAGATAGCAGGGCTCCCTGGGGCCATCCGGCAGGGAGGAGCCTTCCCAATCCCTGCCTTGATTTGGCCTGTCAGGGCAGCCCTGTTTCCTTCCCATCACCCCCTTGGGTGTCTTCCCGATCCATGTCTCGTGGGAACTCCCAAGAGCCTGGAGCCTCACCCAGAACAGGTGGCAGAGCCGGGCGCTGCTCATGCTGTGGGGCTGGGTGGATCCATATCCCCTTCCCACCCCTCTGAGCCAGTGTTAGGAGCAGAGTGTATGTCTCCTGGGCACCGCTGAAAGCAAGCAAGCGCTTTCCAGCCAACTCTCCATTGTTATTCCTTTGTATTACAGTAGCGCTGAGATGCCCCAACTGAGATCAGGGACCCCCTTCTGACGGGCACTGCACAGTCACAGAGTAACCGAGATCGGGGTCCCGTCATGCCAGGCGTTGCCCAGTCACACAGTAACTGAGATCGGGGCCCCGTTGTGCTGGGCACTGCCCAGACACACAGTAACCAAGATCAGGGCCCCATCGCACCGGGTGCTGCCCAGACACACAGTAACCAAGATCGGGGCCCCGTTGTGTCAGGTGTTGCCCAGACACACAGTAACCGAGATCGGGGCCCCGTTGTGTCAGGCGCTGCCCAGACAGAGAGTAACTGAGAGTGGGTCCCCATTGTGCCAGGCGCTGCCCAGACACAGAGTAACCAAGATCAGGACCCCATCGCACCAGGCGCTGCCCAGATGCAGAGTAACCAAGATTGGGGCCCTGTCATGCTGGGTGCTGCCCAGACAGACTGAGAGAGAGTCCCTGCCCCAAAGAAGCCACAGACAAGCTAAGACAAGATGCAACAAGTGGGTATTAAAAATTATTTCCCTTGATTTCTTCTTCTCTAATTGCACAATAGATCTAGCTCCATTGTTAGAGAACATTCCCCCAGCTTTACCTGTGTTTATTCCAAGAATTCATGGGGCCCAGTTCCTTCCAGTTCAACAGGTTTCAAAAGAGAATCAAACAATCAAGTGTTCTTTGACTTTGCTAGTATCTTCCACTGGAGGGTTTCATTCATTAATTCAGCCTCATCACCCCAATACGAGGATGCCTTTCTACAGATGGGGAAACCGAGGCACAGAGAAGGGAAGCAATTTGTCCAAGGTCACAGTGATTAAGTGGGAATGGGAGTCCTGATTCCATGTCACTTCCACCAACCACTAGACCCCTCTCCCCTCCCAGAACAAGGAATAGAAACCTGTCCTGGCTCCTAAACGCCTACGAGGGGAAACTGAGACACAGAGAGTCTTTCTCCCGCCCTCCCCAGTACTACACAGAAAACCGGTGGCAGAGCTGGGAATGGAACCCAGGAGTCCTGACTCCCAGTGCCCCACTCTGCCCCCCGCAGATTAAGGAAGAGCCCCCCACACCTGATTCCCCTTCGCTGGGCCGAGGCAGACTGTGGCGAACGGAGCTGCAGCCAGGCCGATCCTTTGCCCAGCAGTGCCCTCTGCTGGGCATCCCACTGAAGGCCGTTTTTGCCGTTTTTCCACTGGGGCTTGGCACACCAGACTCCCCCTAGGCCAGCAGCTATCCTGCGGCCAGGCCACACCAGGCCCGGCCCGTGGGCCAGCTGCTTGTAGTCTGGGGTTTTGAATCACTCCATCCTTCCCAGCCAGTTGGCATCTTGCCCATTCAACGCCCTGCCCCTCCAGGGGTGGATTTAGGGGCCTCGCTTGCCGCATAGATCTACCCGTATGTCGCAGTCGCACCCTGCTTGGGGGCAGCACAAGGATCTCGTGCCGGAAAGGATGGGACAAAACCGGCCACGCCTCCCCACGCCCTGGTTCTCATCCCCTCCAGCCCAGCTCCAATCTGAGCCCCACACGCCCTCCCCCACAGACCCACTGATGGGAATAAAGGAGGGAGTGGCTCTCAGTGGCGGGTGGGGGGAGGAGGCAGCGGTGCCATCCTGCTGTTTGCAGAGCGGGGCCTTGGCAAACAAACCTTCCCCTGCCTGTTGCAAAGATCAACAGAGCTGAATGGCTGGGAGGGGAATCCATTGGGGCTGGGGAGCACAAGGGACTGGGGGCGGGGGTGCTGGGCCAGAGTGGGGAAGAGCCATGGGGCACTGCAGCGAGGCCGGTGGGGGTGAGACACGGAGGGGTCTGCTAGCTGGGCTCCCTCCCTCCATGAGGCCCCAGTGCCTGCCATGAACTAAATCCTCCCCACCCTCCACAGCCTGGATGTGCCAGGGCCTGCCCCCTGCTCTCTGCTGGCACGGCAGCCCCCCAGACCTGTGCCAATCCCCCCTTCCGCACCCCAGTGCACTGCAGGGTAGGGGTGGGGGCTGTCAGGATCAAGGTGTTATGAGATGCTCAGGCCCAAGTTGGGGCTCTGTGCAAGCTCCCCCAAGGTCTTGTTCCAACCACCGGGGGAGACTTCTCCAGAAATTTTCGCTCTTCCCCCCCGTCCCGAGGAGCAGAGGCGCAGGCTGGCCAGCAGAGCTGCTCATGCAGTGCCAGGCGCGTTCTGGTTGCTGCAGTGCCGGGTGCCGCACGCTCTCCTGAGAACAACGCCCCAAAGCCCCTCGCGGTGCCCACCCCGGGGTGGCAGAGGCGTGGAATGTCCCGTTACCATCCGCCCCGCCTCTGGGGGGCATTGCAACAGGGCAGTCGTAAGCCCTTCTGTCTCCCTCTGCGGGTCTGCCCCCCGACTTCAGGGCCCAGAGCCCACCCCATGCGGCCATCCCCCCTCCCCTGTGAGGAATTGGCCACGGGGCAGGGACTGTTGTGGGGCGCCCCCAGAATGGCCACCCGTGGGTTTCCCGTCCGTGCCCCCAAGGGCTGGCAAAAGGCTGCTCAGCGCAGGGGACGCGGGGCAACTCATGATGCTGCGTGGTGCCCATGCCAGCACCCCAGGGAGCCCTGAGCCAGTGAGAGGCGGGGGGTCCCTGGCCTGCCCCAGGCCCCTTGGTGCCTGAGCCAAAGCCTGCTGGAGCCCTTCCATTTACCTCGCTTAGGCCCCATGGGGGGGCGACGGGGGCTGGCCCTTTCATGCCAGCCAGGCCCATTGGGGTGCACATGTGCCCCGCAGGCACAGCGTTCCCTTTGGGCCCAACGAGCGGGAGTGGGGCACACTGACATCCCGGGGGGGGGGGGGGGTCACGGACGTCACATCGTCCTGCGCCTGCCTCTCCCCCTGCAGCCTGAGGGCCCTTTTCTTCCCTTGTCCCGCTCAGCCACCCCAGGGGGGGCGGGGGGAGGGGGAAGAGGCTGTTGCTTTCTACCCTTGTGGCACCTGCAGCGTGAGTCAGGTCGCCCTCTAGTGGCCGATCCACAGAGGAGGGTAAGAACCTACTATGGGGAGCTGTTGCTAGAGAATCACCTGCAGTGCGGGCAGTCGGGCCTCCTGCGTGCAGTACTGGAGGCTCCAGGTTCAGACCCCGGCCAGGAGGGGCTGTGCTCTCCCCCAGCTCAGAGCCCCGGGGCAGGAGGGGGCTGCTGGCTGTCAGCTTTCTCTTCTATTTCCAAACTCGGCTGTCATGTCTCTTCTCCCCATCCCCCCCCCACCCCTCCCTGCAGCAGGAAGCGGATCCAGAGGTGGGGCATGTTGCGGGCAGAGCGAGACACCTCCCCCCATTGCCAGGTGGAGAGAAACTGCTGGAGTCAGAGCAGGGGAGGGGATGGGGCGGGGGGTGGGCAATGGGAGGGGAATGGGAAGGAGGCAGGCAATTGAAAGGGAGAGGAGGGGAGGGGAGGGGAGGGGCTGGGGGGCTGGGCAAGGGGTGGCTTGCAACACACTCTCTCCATGAAGCCCTGGCCCTCGCTCCGCTGCAGCCTGCCCCCCCTCCCCGCCCCACATGCAGCCACGGCTGGGATCCCATGCAGTGCAGGCTCCTTTTCATTATCAAAAACTAAACAATCAGTTCGCTGTGCGCCCTGCACAGGGAGCCTGCGGGCCAGCGTGCAGCCCTGCCGAGCGCCCCCACACCTGGTGGGCCAGGGGCACAGGGGCACCGAGCCCTTGTCCATCCAGGGCCGGGGCTGGGGCAGAGGGGAGGGACGGGTGGGCAGCTGGGCCGTAGCCATAGCTCCTCCAGCCCCCTGAACCTTGGCTTTCTCATTCTCCCTCCTCCCAGGCACCCGCTGGGAGCCAGGGCCAGTGTGCCAGGCCTTGGGCTGCGGCCGCGTGGCCCCGCCGGGCCCTAGGGGGGCAGCAGGGCAGGCAGCGGGACCTCGGTCTCGCCCAGGACGGCGTCCCGCCTCACGCCGCAGCCCACGTTGAGCGCCTTGAGCCTGAGGCGGCGGCTGGGCAGCTCATGGGGCGCCAGGCCCTCGAAGAAGAAGTCCTCGTTGAAGATGGGGCTTCGGCTCCTCTTGACCACGGCGCTGCGCTGCTTCTGCGCCTTGCCCGGTCGCAGCCGCAGGATCACGCAGCAGCCGACGTGCCGGGGGTCGCAGGGCCGCGGGTAGAGGCCTTCGGCGCTGACCAGCCGGACGCGCAGGCGCCTGCTGGCCGGGACGTACTCGGAGGAGAGATGCAGGCGCCCACCTCGGCTCAGCGCCACCGTGTTCTCCTGGGCCACTGGTGTGGGGCGGCAGATGAAGTACAAGGGGAAGAAGGGTGGCGGGGCTAACCTGGCCGCTGCCCCCCAGCTGGGCTCGGCCTGTCGGCGTGGGAAGCTGGGGCTGTCGTCCGTAGAGCTGGCTTCCTCGGCAGACAGCGAGCTGGCCCGGCTCATCGCCTGGGCATCCGGGGTGCGGCTGCAGAGGGGCCGGCCCCAGTGGGCCTGGCAGGCGAGCGAGTGCCCCAGCACCGGGGAGCCGAAGGGTGAGGCACCTGCAGAGGAGGTCGTGTCGCTGTCCAAGGCGCCAGGCTGGGAGACGGGCCACCAGGGCCGCAGCTCCGGGGGCGAGAGCCTGGCATCGGGCTCTGGGGAGAGGTCGAGGGAGATGCGGTGGGGTGGACACACGGTGTGAAAGATGGACTCCCTTCGGCGCGTGTGGGGGCTCTCGGGCAGGAGGGGGAAGCCCCCCGGGCTGAGGAGGTGGGGCGTGGAGCAGGCAGGGGGGAGCTGCTGGCCAGCCTCACCCTCTGCCCTGGCTACAGAGTCCTGGTGCCGGCCCTGTGTGTGGATGATGGGCTGATCGGCGGCTCTGATCAGAGCGATGTGTGTCTCTGGGCTCCCGGTCCCTTGGGGGCTCTGCTGGGAACCGGGACTCCCGCCCAGGGCTCTGCCATACAAGGTGGAGAGTTTGGGGGGGATGAAAAACTTGGGGATCCGGTCGGGGGTGAGGACGTTGGGACAGGTGGGCAGCGGACCCGGCTTCTTGCTCGTGGCCCTCTGTCTGGAGAGAAACATTCGGTGGAGTCAGGGGCTGAGGGAGCGGGGGCAGAGAGTCAGCCACCGGGGTGCAGGTCGCTGGGCAGCTGCCCCCCTCCAGAGGAAACCTGATCCCAGGCCTGGAGTCAAAAGCTTCCTAGGGAGAACCAGAAGTAGCACGTTAAAGCCTTGGAGGGTGGCAAGGGGCTGGATCGCCAGCCCTGGAGGCCCCTGTCCTCTCCTCACCCTAGAGAGCTGTTTTTGTCAATAGCAATGAGAGATTTTTAAAAGCTCTTAAACCACACATCCTGCTCCCCCCCCCCAAACACACATCTGCAAAGCCAGCAGGCCCCGATTTCCGTTTCCCAACCCAAACCCACAGGGAGAGCCCTCCGTCCTCTGCACTGCTGAGCCCTGGGGCGGCACTGCTCTGAAAGGCCGTGTGTCTCCCCCAGACACCTTGGCCGTGGGAGCGGCCAGCGCTCCCTCGCCAAAGGGCAATCAGTCATGTCACTAATATAAAAAAAAAATGCTTAGAAACTGCACCCACCATCCCCATCTCTCCTGCCACCCCAGGCCTGAATTACCTGCCATCAAAGCCCCTCACTGCATCCTGGCCGGTTTTCTCTCCCACCCCTGTACAAGCCAAGCTGGAAAAGTTCGCTGGTGTAAACAGCTCCCTCTTCAAAGTGGGATCAAAGCTTGGCCCAGAACTACATCCCCCGTCCTTACCTGCTCTCCTCAGCAGGGAGCTCAGCTTCACGCTCGCCAGAGCAGCTGGGAACCACCAGCCTTTGCCACTGGGTTTATAGTGCTTGGCTCCCAGCGTCACTCTCTTAGTTAGCCAGCTGCTGGGAAGGAAGACAAGGAGCCCAGTGCTTGCAGATTCACTCCCCAGCAGGGGGCTCCTTTATAAAGAGTAAGCGCTGGATATTTATGATGACGCATGTATTGAGGAAGGAAGGAAGCAGCCCCTTGGCCGCAGCCTGGCTCAGCACGGATACCACTTGCGGCAGGCAAGATGCCTTTGTTTCCAGTTCATGGCTGAGCACTTTATCAAGTTTGTTTCTCCTGTGTTACCAGGGAAGGGTGCCTCAGGCAATACGGCTGGGAGGAGCAGTACAAAGGGTGTTTTCTTCCCCCTGCTGGAGTCGCTTGCTGCGCTTGCCAGGGCGCTGGGTTCAAATCTCCCCACTCCAATCCCGATGCCCTGAAATGCCGCTTCTCCTGCAAGGTGGAGGCCATCGGACAAGGCGGCGTTCCTGACCCTCCCCGCAGGGCTCCACGGCCCTTATGAATGGAGCGCACGGCTCATAGAATCATAGAATATAAGGGTTGGAAGGGACCCCAGAAGGTCATCTAGTCCAACCCCCTGCTCGAAGCAGGACCAATTCCCAGTTAAATCATCCCAGCCAGGGCTTTGTCAAGCCTGACCTTAAAAACCTCTAAGGAAGGAGATTCTACCACCTCCCTAGGTAACGCATTCCAGTGTTTCACCACCCTCTTAGTGAAAAAGTTTTTCCTAATATCCAATCTAAACCTCCCCCACTGCAGCTTGAGACCATTACTCCTCGTTCTGTCATCTGCTACCATTGAGAACAGTCTAGAGCCATCCTCTTTGGAACCCCCTTTCAGGTAGTTGAAAGCAGCTATCAAATCCCCCCTCATTCTTCTCTTCTGCAGGCTAAACAATCCCAGCTCCCTCAGCCTCTCCTCATAACTCATGTGTTCCAGACCCCTAATCATTTTTGTTGCCCTTCGCTGGACTCTCTCCAATTTATCCACATCCTTCTTGAAGTGTGGGGCCCAAAACTGGACACAGTACTCCAGATGAGGCCTCACCAATGTCGAATAGAGGGGAACGATCACGTCCCTCGATCTGCTCGCTATGCCCCTACTTATACATCCCAAAATGCCATTGGCCTTCTTGGCAACAAGGGCACACTGCTGACTCATATCCAGCTTCTCGTCCACTGTCACCCCTAGGTCCTTTTCCGCAGAACTGCTGCCTAGCCATTCGGTCCCTAGTCTGTAGCTGTGCATTGGGTTCTTCCGTCCTAAGTGCAGGACCCTGCACTTATCCTTATTGAACCTCATCAGATTTCTTTTGGCCCAATCCTCCAATTTGTCTAGGTCCTTCTGTATCCTATCCCTCCCCTCCAGCGTATCTACCACTCCTCCCAGTTTAGTATCATCCGCAAATTTGCTGAGAGTGCAATCCACACCATCCTCCAGGACCGACCCTTGGGGCACTCCACTTGATACCGGCTGCCAACTAGACATGGAGCCATTGATCACTACCGGCTCAGTTACGTCACACTCTCATAGAGGATAAGAGCCTACTATAGCCGCATGCTGACATTAGCCGCATGCTAACATCACTTGTCCCAGCTTTTGAAGTTAGTGGTGAATATCTCCCCCTTTCCCCCAAACATAATGGCCTAAATCCCTGTAATCTCTACATAATTTATTTTGGCTGAGGAGGCTCAGGGTTGAATCCCGGCTGGCAGTGGTTAGTTGCACTAATAGGATAATCCTCTGGGGAAGGAGCAAAGAGCAGGTTCCCTGTTTACCTGAGGCTGATCCCCTGGCCCCGCTCCTTCCGGTTTCACACCAAAGGGAGCTGCATCCTGCCTCGCTGAGGGCGGTGCTGGCCAAACAGTAGGGCGCTGCAGGGCAGTGTGGTTCCTTGGCAGAATTTGTTGGCTTCGTAACGAGACACCGCGCCGAGCCGTTGGCGGCTGGATTTGAATCCGGCCCCGGCTGGCAGCGATGGGAAGGCCCTGCTGGCCGGTGGCTGCTCAGGGAAAGAAGTTGCCGGGTCTCAGCCCCCACGCCATGGGCAGGCGGCCACGTTGGAAAACCTCTGTTGCAATTTTGTCCGTTGGCAGCCGAATGGGCCGTGAAGACTGACCTCTCCTAAGAGCTGTCCCCGCTGATCAGCGTGGGGACAGTTTGCCCTTCCAGTGCCCATGCTAGCCCTTTCCTGGTCCAGGCCCATCTCACTAGCCCCTGCAGCGCCCAGATACCCTATGTTTGCATCTTTCCTCCCTCCCCTTATCGAACGCTTGACAGACTTTGACTAATTTGATGCCACTTCTTCTTAGGGCTTTGTTCCCCTCGCGCTGCCCAAGGTTGCACTGGGTCACATCCAATAACACAGGACAAAGAGGCTTTTGTGGCTGGATTTCACTGCTGCGTTTGGGACATGCACAGAACCTTTGTGCCTCTTGGTAGATCACAGCAGCACCTTCCCTGAGATTCTTGGCTGAGCTAGCTGGGTATGGGAAGGCTAACAGGGCTTAGGGTGCTCATCTGCCTTGTGGGAAACCTGGGCTCAATTCCCCGCTCTGCCACAGACTCCCAGCATGACACAAGGCAAATCCCAGAGTTGCACCGTGCCTCAGTTTCCCCATGTGTCCCATGAGGCTAAGAGCACTGCCCTGCTTTACAGCGGAGGCTATGAAAATAACTACATTAAAGACCGGGAGGTGCTTCAAGAGGAGGGTGATCGGGGCTGTATAAAAACCATAGACAGACCTGCTTAGAGTGTGCCTGAAGTTGGCTCAGTGTTGCAAATGGGTGACAAAGAAAGGAGATTTTCAGGCAGTCCAGCATTGACAGAGGGAGGGGCACTAACTGATAGACAGGGAGGATTCACCATCTTTGGGAGCCAGTAGAGCAAGACGGGATGGCTTCTGAAAGATCGGCTTCTGGCTCAACCAGAAGTCCCAGATTTGGAGCAGGAATCTTGAGCCTAGGCCAGGCAGGAGGTGAGAGCAGCTGATCATGATGATCCGGGCTGGCCTTAGATGAACACGTTAAGCGTCTCATATGGATTGTCACTTTCAGAATCTTCCCCGGGGTCTGACTGGCAAGGACTGGGTGCAGGGGGAGGAAGTTCGCCTTCCCTGCCAGCATGTGGTACGGGTCACAGGGCATATCTCACCTCATCACCCCCTGCCATGGCAGGGACCTCAGGCTCTGCCTCCTGTGGCCCACATGAGCTTAGTCTCTGAAGGGCTGTGAGACTTGCATCTAATCCAGGTGGCTGGGCTCCATACGAGGGTGACGTGGGTGGGGTTTGGTGGCCTGTGATGCCCAGGTCAGATGCAGTGTTGTGGGGGGTCCCTGCTGATTTTAGACTCTGACTCTAACTTGCTTTGCAGATGCTCGCTGAGAATCTGGACCCGGAAATGGAGGCCTCCCCGAAAGCCTCCTTGTCAAAATTTTGGCCTGGGGTGGAAGGGAGTGATTATGGGAGGGGGATGAGGCTGGATCATGCAAGTGACACTTTCTGCCATTTCTGCTCCACTAGGAGACACCATCCCACCCTGATGGATGATGACCTGGCCTCACTTAGTCCTGCTTTGGTTACCCCTCAGCTCTGCTGCAGCATCGGGCAGACCTGGGCACGAAGACTTCAGCACCCCGGAGCATTGGGCATCTCCTCAGCAACACAGGCTGTCGCAACCTCATCACACCCATCCTCCGCTCGCAGCGCCGGCTCCCCACTGACTAGCAAATCCCAGTCAAGGTCTCGCTCCTCCTCTTCAAGGCGCTCCATGACCTGGGCCCGGGGAGGCTGAAAGAGCCTGACTCCGCAGGATGAAGACTGTGGGCGATAACTTCGCTCCCCTGACACACGGGGTGCCGTACAGATGGTGTACTCGTCTGAGCAGGAGCAGAACTTTCTCCGGGGGCCAATCCCAGATTGTGGAACGACTCCCTCAGGAACTAAGGCCCGTCAAGGGCAAGGGACATTTCTCTGACCTGCCTTCTCTACCACAGAGCCACCTGTGTGCTACCAAAACCAGACACTCCACTGCACACACATCTTCCCTGGGGGACAGGATGAGCAACCAAGCCACACGAGACAGATATTAGTCATGCTGCTCGCTCAGATACTGCGGTGATGAGTGCGGTATAAGAACATCCACAGAAATAGAAACAAAATAGTTCATCTCTCATTTCCCTCCCCTCCGAGCCCCCAATGTTTTGCAGAATCATAGAATGGAATATCAAGTTTGGAAGGGACTTCAGGAGGTCATATAGTCCAACTCCCTGCTCAAAGCAGGACCAATCCCCAACTAAATCAGACATCACTGAGACGGTGAATGTTGGGCATAATTCAGAAAGGGAGAGATAAGAAGACAGAAAATATCATATTGCCTCTCTATAAATCCATGGTATGCCCACATCTTGAATACAGCGTGCAGATGTGGTCATCCCATCACAAAAAAGATCTAGAAAGGTTCAGAAAAGGCCAACAAAAATTATTAGGGGTGTGGAACAGCTTTCATATGAGGAGAGATTAATAAGACTGGGACTTTTCAGCTTGGAAAAGATGGGGGATATGATAGAGGTCTATAAAATCATGACTGGTGTGGAGAAAGTAAATAAGGAAGTGTTATTTACTCCTTCTCAGAACACAAGAACAAGGGGGTCACCAAATGAAATTAATAGGCAGCAGGTTTAAAACGAACAAAAGGAAGTATTTCTTCACACAACACACAGTCAATCTGTGGAACTCCTTGCCAGAGGATGTTGTAAAGGCCAAGACTATAACAGGGTTCAAAAAAGAACTAGATAAATTCATGGAGGAGAGGTCCTTCAATGGATATTAGCCAGGATGGGTAGGGATGGTGTCCCTTGCCTCTGTTTGCCAGAAGCTGGGAATGGGCGACAGGGGATGGATCACTTGATGATTTCCTGTTCTGTTCATTCCCTCTGGGGCACCTGGCATTGGCCACTGTCAGAAGACAGGGTACTGGGCTAGATGGACCATTGGTCTGATCCAGTGGGGCCATTCTTAGGCTACGTCCTACCAATGCAGACCAGAGGAAAAAGTCTTCTTCCAGCAGGCCCTGGAGTTTTCCTGGTAGCAGCCAAGGTCCTTGGCAGAGCTGGGATGGAAGAGGCATGTTCTGTGCTTTAAGGTGCTCTGTAGGCTGATGTCTGTGTCATTTCCATAGATACACACAGGCCCTGGGGCTTGGTGGGCACCGAAGTCAAGCTGAGGAGCTGCTCAGCGCAGATATTGCGTGGGCGCTTCTGTCCACTGTGAGAGAAGGCAGCAGCGTCAAGCAGCATCGTACCGGCTCCGTACAATGGGGGTCTGTTCGGGACGATATTCAGACACAATGCCAACTGGGACACGCTAATGTGTTCCTGCCGATGAACACAGCAAGTGAAACCCAACACACCAAGCGCTCGGGGGACACAACCAGGTCAGTCGCCGGTGTGATGCCATTGCAGGAAGGAAAGATTGGGCTTGGCTTCTCTGCTCTCTTTGCCAAGCGATTGGCATCTGCT